GATTGATACATGTATATAATCACATGATCATATTATCATTTCGTTATTCCACAAGTTATAAGAAAGCTATTGGAACGTTACGCATTATAAAAGGACATAACTTTTTTTTTCCTATTTTCTTTAGTAGTCTCGAAAACGTTCTATTTGTTGGCAGGCACTATCACCAAAGCATCCACCAGTCTTTGTTTTCTTGTGTACCCTTTTGTATATTTTTCTTTCATTTTCAAACTTAACTCATTAACCATATTTTTATAGGGTCATAAATAATTATTTATATTCAGCAATTCCCAAATTCTAATTGAATAAATCTTTGAATTAGACAACGTAATGGTTAAAACACCAAATTTCTTTCGTAACAAATAAAGAGTAACTGGAGTTACAGACACATAGATATTGTTCTACAATACAATTTTTGCATAATAAAATTAATTCTTTGGAAACCTTTTTTTAATATTGCCCGACGTTTTAAATAGAAGGATCATGGTGTCTACTGTCTACTGTGTCTAGGTCCATAACCGATTCTTAAGTACTAGTATTCTTATATTTTGCGATAATAATTTTCTGTAGATAATTCGACCAAATCCTAAGCTGTGATTCCGAGGATGATATCCTTACATGTGGTTAAGATTGGTCAGTAATAGCATTCATTTAAGAGAATAAAAATGTGTAGCTTGTGGTTGAAAATCGATGCAGTTTATAATCTATTCGTTTAATTAGGTCAAAAGTTATTAGAAAAAGAGTAGAATTAAAAGATTATTATCCCGATATTGATTTAGTGCTCAAATTTTACATAGAAGTAATGCGCCAGGTGAAATTCAAGATAACATTCTTGGTGGGTTTGTCACACTCGGAGTGATGCTTTAAATGGATTTTATAAAAAGAAATTAGACTGAAAAGTGGATAAAAGCTATAAGAAGAAAAATAAAAATCTAATGATTAAGTATTTGATTAAATTTCAAAAGAAGAAAAAGGACCACTATTTTTAGCAATCTTTTGTTTTCTTTCTTGTTTGCCATGAATGTTTTTAATGATGCACAATGCAAGTGTATTTACGCGGCGAACATAAGTCTCGAATTATGCCATAATAATTAATTTACTTTTTATACTTTTTTTTTTCCTGATAAAAGACTAAGATTTATACTATTTTTTTTTTATTTTTTACAGCGGTGCAAAAATACCTTAGAAGATGGAAAGACTGAAAACTATAAATAATGGCCAAGTTACAATAATAACAAAGAAACAAACATAAACAAACGATAAGGTAGACAAATGCTAAAACAAAATAGTAGATTCCCAACAAAGAAACGCTGATTCCGAGTACCTAAACTCGGTCAATCGTAATTTTGCTACAGTCCCTAGGAAATCGAGATTTTATTGTGGTCTATAACTCGCACGCCAGCTCCGTATGCATGTTTTTTTTTTTCTTTTCTTCTCGAAACTTCTCCGTATGCATGTTACCAATCAGATATATATATAGATATGTCTATGATCGTGATTGTTTAGAGAACACGAATATGCTCAAGAACTAAGTAAGATTATTTAACTTTACTATATACTTTGATCATACAATATAATATATGATCGTTACCAAATTTATATTCCAGACACAACCATAACCCGAAATTCCTCTATCTTTCTTTTGTTTTTCAGTTGATACAGAGAATAACAAAAACCTAAATATCTTCAAACTGATCTCTTCGAAAACTGTTGTTCTTGCTAGATTTCAGTTCACATACAAGCTGTCGAAGATTAGAAGCTTCTTCTTTGAGTTTAGAGTTCTCCTTCAATACACTAACTTGAGTCTCCGATACGCGGTTTAGCTTATCAATAAGACAGTTGTTCTCATTACGAAGCCTTATCACTTGGGACCATAGCTCATCTAGATGTCTCTGTTTCCTCATCCTCGACCTCCTTGCGGATTCTCTGTTCGAAAGCATCCTCCTCTGTTTCCTCTCGTCGAGTATGATGATGCTTTGATGATGGTGATCTTCGTCGGAAGTTGAGTTGTTGCTCATCATGAAATCTTGACCGTTGGATGATGAAGAGTAGTTGTTGTTGATGAGATCATTTAGGTAGTTTAAGGAAGAGGAAGAGGTTGGAGATGAAGGCATGTTTTTTATGTTGAATTCGGCCGGGATTGTTGTTAAGCTTTCCGGCGATATATATTGGAAATATCCGGTGATTTCCGCAGGAATCATGGCTTTGTATTTGGGCTGTAAGAGTGAGAGATTAAATATGAAGGACGAAGAGTTAGTGTAATTGTGTTTATGTGAAGTTGGTTTGAAGTAAAATGAAGAAGTGGGAGAAGGGTTTTATAATGTTGGAGAGTTAAGTGAATCATGTAAAAGTGGGTCCCATGGATTAAATTATGTATTTAGAGCATATTATAAGGAGAAAAAATTATTAAATTTCGTCATTTATATTGGTGGAAGAGTGAAAAATCATAGATTATTTGAATTTAATCGGCAGACTTAGCGGATTACTACAATTTATTAACGGGCATGATTTAATAACTTTTACTTCATTTTTTTTTTATAAAGAAAACTCCGTTTTGAAATTCACATATTATTTGTAAAAGTAACATATAGTAAAATCATAAATAAACTATTTTTACGGTGTTTTTCATAATAAAAAGTTTTTTAAAATTATTTTCTTTGACTTCTAATACCTTGTTTTACAAGATATTACAATATATGTAAGAAAAATACACATCACTTATATCGAAAGAGAAATTGCAAAAATGCCACTTTTTATGTGTACATTTACAAAAATGCCATTTAGGGGTGTTCATTTGCAAAAATGTTACTAATTATAGATTTTTAAACCCTATATCTTAAAATTCTATACACTAAAAAATGTTTTGACCCCTAAACTCTCATAACTAAACTTTAATAGAACATAATTAACCCAAACACAAATAATATAAAGAAAAAATAATTTTTAAAAATGACATTTTTGTAAAGATTTCAAAAGTGTGATATTTTTGTAAAATAACACTTGAAAAGTGACATTTTTTAAAATTTCTCTATAGTGAAAGGTTAGTTAGCTTAATAACAAAGAAATATTGGAAAAATTATGTTCACCTCTGTCAATTTTCTAATTACTCTTTATTTCTCTGTTACACAAACTAATTTCTCAATATTTAGCATTGGTAGATCGATTTTATTAAAAAAATTTGTAACAAAGGACAAACAAATAAAGATAGTTTAGTCATAATAATAACGTGTTAGGTTGATATAAGTTGTTTACGGGAAATGGGAGCAGAATTTGTGAAAAGCTTTTCCTAAAAATTGTGTTCTCCTAATCTGAAACCAATTTTTTTTTTGTTGATTAAATCCAAAAACAATTGTTAAATTGAATGTAATTTATTTGTTGTTGATAAAATTCTGAAAATCTTGCTTTATTATTCTCTATTCTATAGTGACCTGTGACGAAATGCAGTTTGAAAAAGTTAGACGACAATTTTGGTCATACGAAAAAAAAAAAAATTAAAGTAGTTTCTTCATTTTTCCTATATATTTTACTTGAATTTAAATTTGGTATATATTTTCAATTTAGAACGAGTTAATTTGT